GTCACGGAGGCCCGGGGAAGGATGGAGAGGGAGGTGGCAGAGGCGAGGGTGCAGGCCTCCGCCGCCGCAGTCGAGGATCAATGCCAGGCAGTGCGCGAATGCCAAACTCGAAGTGTATTCGCTTAGCTTGTCCTGGCATTCAGCAACACCGTCTGGAATGACACGCTCTCGATGACATTCTGTGTCCAAGAAACCACGGTGGCGAGCATGCAGGGACCACGACGCTGCTGCCTCTCGCGATCGTCAGCTCCAAGTGTGCAGGGGAGGGACATTGCATGTGCCGCGGGGCGAAAGCGCCGTAGCGGAGTTTGCGATACTCCGTTCAAGATGAAAAAAAGCCTCTGCCAGTTCGGAACACGAACCGAAGCATTTACTGTTGAGCTGACTCCCCCCTAAACAACAAAGGCTCTTGTCTTAGCGGTGCTTTCGTCCCGCCGGACACGGAACGTCCCTCCCTCCACACTGCGGACGGCAACGAGAGGCCGCGTGGTCGTGGTCGTTTCGCGGCGTCTCCTTGACAAAAGTGGAACCGGGACTCGAGCCATTGTTCCCATCGCCTTGTTGATGCCCTCAAGCCTATCGCGGCGGGCGGTCCCTGCATGCTCGCCACCGCGGTTTCTTGGACACAGAACCTCACCGTGTGCATGTCACTCGAGAAGATGCTACGGAATCCCAGGACAAGCTAAGCGAATACACTTCGAGTTTGACATTCGCGCACGGTTTGACCTCAATGCCAAGCAGTGGGCGAATGCCAAGCTCGAAGTGTATTCGTTTAGCTTTTCTGGGATTCCGTAGCATCTTCTCGAGTGACATGCACACGGTGAGGTTCTGTGTCCAAGAAACCACGGTGGCTAGCACAAGGGACATCAGGCCTAAGGCCATCAACAAGCTCTTCAGTGGCGGTGGAAAAGTTAGCTCGAGTCCCAGTTCCACTTTTGTCAAGGAGAAGCCGCAAAAACAACCGCGACGACGCTGCTGCCTCTCGTTATCGTCAGCTCCAAGTGTTGAGGGAGGAACATCCCATGTCCGGCGGGACGAAAGCACCGCAGCGGAGTTTGAGATATACGCCAACAGGAGAGACTCTATCCTTGAGGGGGGAGTGAACGCCAAACCGAAGGCACTGCTGTAGGTTGCGTTACGTAAGATATCACACCCCCTGGACCGATTTTCAAAGCTCGATTACTCGGTAGAAAGAGCGATACCGGTGCCGAAGATGGCGGCGTTGGAACTGTCTCGTCGAGAGAGAGCTTTCCGAAAACGTATCGTTTGATTTCGGCATCCTCTTCTTCGTGGAGTGATCGCGCTTTGAAAATCGGTCCAGTGGGTGTGGTATCTGATGCCATATCACTTACGGTACATGTAGGCCACGCTCCGGCACAAAACGCCCTGTAAGACGTGTGCCAAGTGCAAAAGCAACACCCCAGACATCGAACGAGACTACATCGACGAGCTAGTCTACACCGCCCTGGCCGGGCTTTTCAAGAGAGCACTCGACGGGTCAAGGTATCTTGCCTTGTTTGAGATTGATGCATCAAACACAGAGTGGAGAGACGATGCCTGTTGGGTTTTGCTACATGTCTTGCAAAGCGAGTAACCGAAAAGCCTTCAACACGTTCAGATGATGCGTGTCGACGGTCTTCGCATATGTACACGCGAAAAGGATTTTTTGAGACCACGTGGTGCCATATTCTCGGCAGCAGTAAGAGAGCATGGCCAGCTCGGCCATTGCGGCCGTTGATCGATCATCGGTCATCGATCATTTTAAGACGTGTGTCGCGAGGCTACAGCTTTGCCCGTTGGCACCAACACGTGACCAACGAGCCGACATTGTATACAAGTAATAGCCCTGGGGAATCGGCCGCAACAAACTCGCTTCTAAATCTCCGACAAGATCTCCGACAAATCTCCCATGGAGAACTGGGGCATCGCAAGACTTCATATTTCGGATCCCGTTGCCCGACGAGAGGATGGTGCTGACGGAAAAATAACAAAAGAACACCATCGGAATAAGCAAAACGTCCAGAGGCTGTGTGTGAATCGAACTCGTTTGCAAACGCTCGCGGCTGACTTGGTGTTGGATTGGCTGTCACGACCATGAGACATGGAACATGAAACATGAGACATGCGACATGTGACATGAGACCACATGAGACGTGAGACAAGTCACGACTCCCCAGACGGAAGGAATACCAAGAGAAGACGACGAACCTCACGAACCTGGAACAATTCATGCGATGCGCGGAGGGATGCCGTAAACCTGGACCTTGATTTCTGGCAGATAGATGCATACATGGATGAGGGATTTTTTTTTTTCCAGAGAGGAGACGATGGGGGGGGGGCGCGGAGAGCATGATTCGGAGAGGGCTGCTATCTTGTATGCTTACAAGTATGCCCTGGTGAGTACTCCCTCCAAACATGAGACGGTATTAGTATGGAGCATGAGGAGGTTGGGTAGGGCGGGGGAGGGCTGTCGGGTCGTGTCAGGCGAAATCACGCCGCCTCTTTCGCGTATTTAGTTGAAAAAAAAAAAAGTCGAAAAGCCGAAAAATGAAATAACAACACCACACAGCAAGTGTGTCCGCTACGGTATGAATTCATTGCTAATTATTGCCGGACACAACTCATCTGTGGATAGGGTTTTGTTTCCTGTAAGAATAATAGAAAAAAGAAAAGACCATAGACAACAACTAAAGTTCAGAAAAGCATTACACCAGTAACAACACAAAGACAAACCTCGCGCTCGCGCTGCAGCTCCGCCTCCACTTGCTCGAGCTTCTCTTTTGCCTCCCTCTTCTCCTGCTCTTGTGCCTTCCTTGCCGCGGCCGCTTCTTCCTGGCTGGCGGCGACGGCCCTCCTCTCCTTCTCGAGGCGCGTCCTCACTTCCTCGGCCTCATCCTGGAGCTTGTTGGCCGACCGGTTGTACTCTGTCATTTCGGCGCGGAGGGGGGGGGGGGGGGTTCGAAAGAGCCAGGTGTAGGTGGACATGAGAAAGGAGATC